TATTTTCGTTTCGGACTATTTAACCTTCGGACTAATTAATCTATTCGTAATTCGGACTACCGAACCTTCGGGTAAATGAACCTTCGGACGTATGAACCCTTCGGATTAATGAACCTTCAGACTATTGCATCAAATACTCGGATTAACGAACCTTATTTCATTTTCGGACTATCGGGCGGCACCGTTATACCATCATGGGCGTCGCGAGGGGGGGCAAGGGGGGGGGGGGGCGCTTGCCCCCCAAAAAGCGCCCCCCCCCGGAAAAGCAAAACAAAAGGAAGAAAAAAAATCATAGTGGTGTAAATTTAATGAGTTGGGGGGCAAAATGTCCCTGCCCCCCCCCCCCTTAAACTGATAAATCGAGAATTTGTTGAGAAATACAAGAATTTTGGGGGGGAAATATGTGTTGCCCCCCTCTAGAAAAAAATCCTGGCGACGCCCATGTATACCATGGTCTTACAAGCTACGTCACAAGGAGCAATAGGTAGCTTGCATTAAATAACAACGACCCAGACAGACTAGGGTTGCATGCATACAGAACGAAAATTATTGACATGGTGGTGATGCCACGTCACATCACCTATTGTACGTGACTAACTCGTCAGCCAATGCTTTTAACGTTAACCGAGCGGGTAGGCTAACCCTATTGTACGGTCTTTGCCCCGATTGACGTCTTCAGGCTAATATCGAATGATGTTTTACTCATCATACTTTTTCATACTTGAGACTGAGAGCCAGACACTCATGTTAAGCAGGGTTAGAATAACTACTTGACGCTTCATGTTGCGGAACATTCGGTGAAGCAATCCAAATAACAGGCGCCCGGCGAGCTGGACTTGTCACGATTAAATGACAAGTAGATCCACACTTTCAGAGGACTTCACATTCAAATTTCGAACGTCATACAACATTCCTGGGGCTGAAGTTTCGTGTGTTCGTGTTTCGTTCAGTTTATAGTCGGCCATTGAATGCAGTTGTATATAGCGAGGCGGCTAGTGTGTGTTCATAGGAAGATAAGATAACCTCCTGTTTTCGTAGACCTATCATGATGAATTATTTTCTATAATAATATATTCCAAATAATAATATATTGGTTTTTGTTACGTACGGCGAACGCACGGCAGAAATAAAAGTAATAAAACGGGGATCATAACTGTTAAAGCAAAGGCAAAAATAGGCCTATCAAATACAGTTAACAAAGTTGAATTAGTTCACTCCAATCAATCAAAAGGTAAATATGTTAAAGAAGGAATTCCCGTTAGTTTGCAACTCTAAACGTCGTGCAAATGTTACAAAGCATTATATACAGGCAAAGCAAAATACATTACAAGGAAATTAGCCAAGCAGCAAATTATACAAACAGGCAAAATACAGTAAAGAGCAAGCCGACAAATAAAGCTAATAAGCAACAGGCAAATGGTATTCTGGCGTATATAATAACCTTAGATAACAATCAGGAACAGGCTCCGCCCAGCCAATGCTCACAACGGTTATAGCGCTGCCGTCGAGCCAAGCATCTCCGCAATCAGCCTGGATCAGCCAAACAGGTACGTCGGCGTCGGACCCCGTTAAGTCAGCCACATCAGGTGACCACAACAGTCCGGGTCTCCGTCCAGCAGGGTGACCGTTTTAGCCGATTTTCGGCTAACTTTGGCAGATTTTTTGTTAAAAAACGCGTTTGACAGAAAATTTGACAGAATGGATTTATTTTTTTGGCAGATTTCTGGCAGAATTCTGCAAAAATGGTTATTTGACAGAAAAACATAGCACATTTGTTTTAAAAAGCTTCAACTTTTCAAAGAAACCCTTGCATAATGGGACAGGTTGGCTGGTGTCGGTGCTGAGGTTCACTGGGAACCGGACTTCGTCGTGACACAACCACGTTTTGCCTGAAATTTACGCAATGATTTCATAACATCTTTATGTGACTATACATTGTTTATAATGTAATTTGAACCTTAATTAAGGCAACACTACAACATCTGCATGCTATTTTAAGTGTTTATAGTGTATTTCGAGTAATTCTGGGGAATTTGGCAGATTTTTGATCAATCTGACAGATTTTTGAAGTGCATTTAGCAGAATTTGGCAATGACCTTACGGTCACCCTGCCGTCCAGTAGTACCGTCAGTCTCGGCCACGATCCTGAGAAGGAGCACTTTATGCTGGTTCAACGCTGTGGTACTTGGAATGGCACATAACGGCTGTACATGGTCAAATAAAACACAGTCAGTATGCTTTTCACCCGCGAGTAGGCACAATTTCAAGTGCGGGAGAAACGCGTACCGAATTACAATGAAAAAGACTGATCATTAAAAAAAGAATGTTTTAAAAATTGACTGAGAAGAGAGATGATCTTTCACTGCCCCTTTAAATTGAGGATGGTTGTTGGAACATTTGATGCTGTTTGGAAGTAAATTCAATTCATGAATTCCGGTATAAAAATGTATTGCACTCTTGCCCTTTTATTCTTGGAACAACAAAATTGGTGGAACTGCCCCTGGTAGAATAATTTGCATATCTGAAACCTTCCTAAATTTATGACAGAGGTAGTCTGGTGCCATTCGTGAAAAATTTTATAAACGTGATTCAGCTTGAGTTGTGTAACATGGTCATTGACGCTTATCGTGCCCAGCTTGCTCAATTCTGTTTGACCAAAATGTGATCTAGAATTCATGTTTAAAATAAACCGGACTAATTTATTTTGGGTAACTTGGAGCTTTTTCTTCAATTTTACTGACAACGCAGAGTACCAGGATGAACAACAATGAACAAACAAATTGAACAGACATGGCTAGGCACCTGTGGAATCAATACAGCCAGATATGACAGGTGCTTCTGACAATCCTTAAAGAGCACGAGTCACCTGCTTGACTGTTAATGTAGACATTTCTGAAGAGTCGTAGCTCTTGACTTATGGTCAAGTCTATAATCGATTCTTTTTGGATCTCACAGATCTGTAGTGGAAATGGACTAGGATCTTAACCAGCGGTCATCGAGACCTAATTTTGGACGACTCAAAAGTACGTCTTTGTCAAGTGGCAGCTGTCAGCTGGCGGGCGGGATGAAGTTCTTCGATTAGACATGTTGTCAAGAAACAGACAAAAATATCCTGGTGGTTAAATGTCAGACTGAGAATGAGAGTATATCTACACGCAGATGTCGTTCAGAGCTAGAGGAAATTAGAGGTTACCAACGCGCCCTAGGCCTTGGATGATGAAGACGGTCTTAGTAGTGCGCCCTCCTATGACTGGTTAAGATCATCCTTTTTTGTCCTGACGCAAAACAAAATAATTTGCAATAGTTCTTGTCTTAACTTGAGACAATTGATTCCTGTTAAAAGAAAGGTTCAAACTGCAATCAGTAATGACAGAAATAGAGGCAGAGATAGGCATTCAATTAGGCCCAACTGGAGGTTGCCGTTGGTTATGATCTAACCATCTTGCGGTAGGGCCCCAATCGATACTCAAAAGTGGGGGGGGGGAGCGGGAAGCGCGAAGCCCTAACGACGGCGTGGAGGCCTTGAAAATATTTGGATTCTAGACACTCTGTGGTGGGATCTAAGGCAATTTATGACCACTTGAACCTTTTTTTTTAGCAAAAGATCATCATTTAAACATCATTTTCGAGTTTGGAATCATTGAATGAGCTGTTTTAAGCTATATAATCAAATGTAGGCTAACATTTCTATATTGGGACGAAAAAAGAGGGGGACAAACGATATAATATCCCCCACTTTAAAAGTGGGGGGGGGGCGGACTTGTCCCGCGCCCCGTCCCCCATCGATTGACGCCCGTCCGTGCGCGACATAGGCAGTCCGAGTTCCTGCGTCTCTGATCATTTTGTCCTCTAAGAAATAATCGGGGGGAAAAGAAACCCATGCCTCCCATACAATATGCTGCAGGGGCAGGTGTGAGCCGATAGAAATAATGTCGCGCAAGGACGCACTACGTACTGTACGTAACAAAGTAACGCAGCGTGCGACGCTGGTGTGTATCGATACACTGTCGATCACGCGCGTCTGGAACCAATACTAGTTTCTTAGTTTTAAGTAGTTTTCGGCTCAGAGAACTCGCTCGACTGTTTGGAGTAATTCGTCTGCAACTTTGAAGGCATCATATGGTTGATATATTCAGTAGACGATCTCAAGTTTTGGAATATCGATAATAAGAGAGAATTTCAGATTTTCAGAAAATGCTTGCCAATGTAGCTCAGAGTACGAAACTGCCGTGGGTCGATGGGATTTGAAGGGAAGTAATTCACCAGATTAATATCCAGTCCCCGCAAGCAACAGTCTCCTTGACTACGTTCATGACGGCTGCAAAACATCGCTCTGGGCTAGAATTATTACCGTGCATACTGGCAATCTGGGTTAATGGATTGTTACGCCGAGGATTGTAATTCAAGCTGTAAAGCTTTAAGGCAAGCTTAATGTGAATCTGGACGGTTGTTTGTATTCATGTTTTTAATACGCAAAAAAAGATAATTTGCAATATATCGTATCAAAACTGATTGAGATTCATTGTGGAATCAGTTTGGTAAGAGTTACTGAATTTTGCGACTTTTTTTTTTTGGTCTTGGTCAAATCTAGTCACTGACATTTGAAACCATCTTATGAAGTGTCACAAACCGAGACAGAGACTTGGTTAGGAATCATCATTTTTTGTTTTCATTTTGATATCATGCGCCTTACCAGCTTAAAACGTGAGGTGAAGTAGGCTACCTACCATTGGTAACATTGTAGCTTTCGTAAGTCACCGATATTTTTCGCGCATATATTTGCGACTCGAGTGGCCATAAGACTCGAGTCGAGTGTTTTGATGAAAGACACGACTCCACTGCAGTCATTTGCTAGCAGTAACCCAAGTCGTGTCGACTCGCCGAAAATTGTGACTCGAGTCGGAAAATGTGCCTTTAGCAGCATATTTTGTATTAATAGACCGAGTATTTCAATAGGAGTACAAAAGACAATATATTTTTTTCCTCCATGTTTTGTCCAGGTGGTTATCTGCGTAAGTGTCTTCACGCTAACTGCCGTCAGCATAGATCGCTACTTCGCAGTAGTGCGCCCTCTCAAGGCACGTATGGCCAGGTCCAACACCAAGACCATTCTAGTCATCTCAGGCATCTGGGTAGCATCAGGCATGATGGGAATGGTACAGCTCCTACTGGCTCGGACCAAAGAGTACGAGTGGTGCTATGGAGAGCGCCACCTAGCGGTCTGCACCGAGCATTGGCCTGACGCCAACCTGGAGTTTGGTTACGAGATCTTCAATATGGCTGCCACTTACTTCGCGCCGCTGGCCATATTCTGTTTCACTTACAGCGTGGTTGGGCGGAAATTGTGGGGAAGAAATCTCCCTGGCAACGCCGATCATATGCGAGATGCTTGCCACCAGAAGGCCAAGAGAAAGGTAATTTCCTGGAGCAGAATTTCCACGTCTTAAGAATTCCATTTTTTTTTGTGAAAGAATGTAACCAACAAAGGGAAAAGAATTTGAATGTAAAGGTTAAAAACACTGTCAAATTTAAGCAAGAAAAAAGTAAAATGGCATTGTTATCCAGTACAAAAAGGAAACAAAATATCCGCAGCGAAGCAGTCACTCACTTTCCCCGGGCCGACTCTCAACCGCAGTTTCAAACCAGGACCCCCCCCCCCCCGAAGGGAAACTGGTTTCCTTTAGTCTAATTGGTTACCAAGTATGAAACCACATAATATCGTAATCCACAAAGAACATCCCTGATTTCCTGGCTGAATAATCAGATCTTAGTTAACACGATTCATTTATCTTGCGGCAACATTTGCCTCGCCGAGAGCCACTTTTGCCACAATGAAGAAACGTTTTAGATTTCGTTCTCGTTGACCGCCGGGGATGCATAGAGAATTTTTTTTCTTTTATGGTTTCGCAATAATATTTTTGCAATGTATTAAAAAAGAATATTGGTCCCTTTATACTTGGTTTTCCCAGTCTCAATAGCCATTGGATCTTGGAATGGTAATATGTACTGTCTTGAGGAGGCGGAGAACACTATATGAAACAGCGGAGGAAGCTTGTGTAAGAAACCGAAGATGAGATCGAAAACAATCCGATCCTTTTTTTGGCCGTGGGTCTTCAAGCACAAACACCTTTCACTTTTCTTTTCTTTTAGGCGTTCATCCAAGGAATGCACATAGGAAAACCATTTTAGCTACTTATTAACAAAGTTGTTAGCCATCATTTAACTAATACCAAACTGAGCTTGACATTCCCTGGTGAAGTTCAGGTAACCGATATAACCAAATCAATTTACTGAGGTCCTGAAGAAATTAGCCATAACAAACACCTTTGACTATGGCATTTGCTACCAGATAATCGTGGAACTGCTATTAGTAAACGGATACTGAGACTCATTAGCGTCCTTGTTTCTCGTTAACCTAGGTAATCAAGATGCTAATGATGATTGTCTTCCTCTTCATCGGTTCTTGGCTGCCTCTCTACGTCTACCATCTGATTGTCATCACTGACAGCGCGGTGGTCAGCAAGTTCCCCAACTTCTTCTTCGTCTACTTCTTTACGGGTCATTGGCTTGCCATGGCAAATAGTTTCATGAATCCCATAGCCTTTGGCTTCTTTAACGACAGCTTCCGGGTAAGTCTGCCACGTTATAGTTCTAGGTTGGACTTCCCAAAACAGTTTTACGACCATATCGCACAACATACGCTGGGATGATTGATTTGTCACATTACCAGCAAGTTTGACTCGGCGTCATTCAGTTGCAGATGACACTGAATATTGCAAGATGGAATGATGCTTAAAGGCACAATAAGTGCCAAAGTTTTAATGACAAAAACGATCCTTTTTCTGCAACCACTACTTCATTTTCTTTTCATGGACGTAATTTTTGGTAAATTTTTGTTTTTATTTTTTTATTTGAGGATTTTGTATGGTCTTATTTCGATTTTGTTCAACCGAAAACTCATATACACATCTCTAATCAAAAAATTATTACGGTACGGGCCATAAACACTGGTTTTAGGCAAGGGCGGATCCAGTGGGGTAATGGGGGCCATCCCCCCCCCCCAAAAAAAAAAAACCGCATTTTTTTAAAGTGACGTCGCAATAAAGGCAGACATTGCATACATTACCATCTTTTCCTCAAAACAAATTGGTTTAAGTGGTCGGAAATTGGACAGAACATCTGGAATCCAAAATATTTTCGGAGCCCTTAAGCGGGCCCTGAATCCCACGCCGTAATGTTTTGGACCCGCTTTTTGGGGGGACCAACATTTTATTTTGGTCCCCCAAAAAATGTGTTCTGGATCCGGCCTTGGTTTTGGGTCGAACAGTAGTGAGCCGTCCGCAGCGATCGCTGGTTGATTACAGCTCGCTGGTTTACGTTCTACCGTGGCACGTCAAGGTATCCAAAGTACAACATAATTTAACATTATGACATTTTAAGTACAATTTCTACTCACTTACCTTTTATATCACAACTTTCACCGCGTAGGCCCCTATTTCTTCTTTATTTCACAACTCAACTGTGGAGTTGAATTATTATGATGAATTATTATGATTGTCTCTCCCACTTCATATCATTTCTTTTTAGCTAGTTTTAAGATGTCATGGAGTAGATATTAAAGAAGTGCATTTTTTTTAACATCTCATCAGATATTTTTGACGCAGTATAAATGTCGGCATTGCGTGAATGGCGTTATTATTGACAACATTTAATTTTAGAGAGAAGATAATCTGGGGAGAACGGTCAAAGCTAAGTCCGTCAAAGTTTTTAAAAAAACACGTCCTCTGTCGGCAAACATTTAATAACCAAAGTGGTAAAACCAAAGTGGATTTTTCTGTGAATTATTACTTGTTTACTCTTTTATGTACATTCAGGCGGATGTGCGTCGGTTGTTACAGCGATGTGGACCATGTACGGAGAAGCTAAGCCATCGGCGTCGTTTGCGGAGCCGACTGAGTACGACGTCTAGCCTCACCACACGCACCTCTTCTCTGGTACGCTACAAACGCAGCTGGGCGGCTTTCTGTCGAGTAGTTTAAATTTTGCACGGATTTCCTTTTCACCGAGGCCTAGCTAGACCAGGTGGCAGAACATTTGTATCTCGCGCATAAATGCCTTGCAATAAGTAAATTGTAAAGTCTTTATCTTGAGGAAAAGAGTAAGTATTCAAACAACCAACCAAACCAAACTAATCTTCTGGAAGCGCGATGTGTCGCTATAGCGAAGGACTGGCAATCATAGCGTTTTCAGGGCGACCTCAGAATCGTAAGCGGCAGTAGGTGAAATTCAAACCCCGTCCTTTCTAATGCAGGCTTGTTACAGTGAATGGAAGACCTATATTGCCCTGTGGCATTTGGTAACATAAGTACCTTTTGTGGTTACTTCTCGCAATTGATTTGTAAATGGTTTCAAACTGAGCCCTGTTACCAACCGATAACCTAATGTCGGCATGGTCTTTTTTTTATTTTTCGTTTTGAACATTTCCCCATGTCAAACTCGGATACATTCAAAGGTAAACACCAGGTAAATACCTTTGACTATTCTAGTTATTACTGACTGATCCAAAAATGTTGATCTCTTTTGATGCAGTTCAATCACCAGCGGTCCAGTAAAAATGGCGGCCCGCCGACCAGGCCCGACAGCTTGGGACCACGTGACCAGCAAGCATTAGAGCGGATTGGCAATGGGCAGACATGGAACGAAAGGACCTACACGCCGTGAGTTAATATACTGCTGCCCTTATTGACCCCTTGATGTCAATCAATCAAACAATGAGCATTAACGAATGAGACCGCGACATTTAGTCAGGTGACCAAGGTAGCTCGGTCAAACTCAGTCATATGAGAAATTAAACAAGCTTATGGCCGAGTCTAAGATTGTCCGTTCCTACCATTTGCTGTCATGACGAGCTAGAGAAGAGTTTACATTAACAATTGTTGACTGCTGTGATGTGTGAAATGACTTCTGAACACCCGAGGGGCGCATAGCATCTTAGCAAGTTCTTTGGATTTCGATGTAAAACTCACGAAAACAAAAAGCAGTAAAAACAACACTCATGACAATCGAACGCCAACTCGCATGCATGTCGCGTGCTCGAAACAGCTCATCGTCTGCTAGTTCGCTGCTTCCACTCTGTGAATACATGGTGAAAATAGCGTGGGCACCAACGATACAAGCATTTCCCTCCGTACGTACCGTATGTACAAAGTCATAGCACACTCCCTGTAGGATATCACGTAAGTGATCCCACAGGGAGTGTGCCATGATTTGTTTATAAACTTAACACGTGATCGTTCTATAGGCCAGTGAAAAAAACAGTATTCAAGACAGAGGTATAGCAATGATATAGTGAGTGCCAGAGTGGAGGATAATGTAGAATGCCGCATTCGCTATTATCAGTTTTACATTTGATAGTACTTGATCCGACGAGTTTCAGAATCCTTTGAGCCGTTCAAATGGAACCGCGCACTTGTATCAAATCAGAAAAGTAACTCAGGAGATCAACAAATACAATTTTAAAATGTCATATTCATCATGGCAGTGCGGCTATCTTTACGGACCGTTGTGTATTGTATTTCGGGAAATAGACTTTGTGGTTAAGGAGCCTATCGCAACAAGTTTGACCAAAACAAGAACAATATAGTTACTCCAACAGTGACCAGGACCGATTACGAAGACAAAGTCATTAATTCATGACGAGCTAATGAAGAGTTTACATTGATATTTAAAGTGAATCGTAGAATGCCGCATTCGTTGGAATATTGTCAGTTTTACCCTTTATCCATTCATCGTACAGCGTCGAAGTGAAATGAAATGCGTCAGACGACTTTTCGGGTTTCACTTTGATGTCTTTAATGCGTTCCTGTTCGCTGTTCGTCAATAGGATGTCAGAGTTACGAAGCATTATAGTCACAGTTCACTATTGGAAAAAAAGCATAGTGATATGTTCCCAAAACACCAATCTCTCCTCCAAAATAAATCGCCAACGATATATGGCATTCTCTGCGAAATTCTGGCGCAAATGTAAACGTATGGATTTTTCACAGTCTTTTAGATCGTGCTTTCAAATATTTTGTATTAGTATTATTTTTCATCACTCCCAATTAGCACTTAATCACGTGTTCTTATTTCTTTTCGTCATCTACCTTTGTAGTAATGGAAGAGGTCAACTTCTGGTAGAAGACTATTCACCATAATCTGATGGACTGGAGTCGGCGACTACTGCTTCATGGAGATCGATGGACCTACCTAAATTAAAAATTTTCATTTTTCCATATATTGACACAAATATCGTAAAGGTGAAAACATACATGTGACTACTCAAGTGAAATATTTTGTCGTTTTGCGAAGCTGTTGATTACATCTCGAAAATATAATTAGAGGTACATCTTAATCTCTAGATTAACACAATGTATCCATCTCTTCCTGCACTAACATGACTTGTTGGTCTCGTTCGTCAAATTGAAGATCTTGTCGATAATTCTGAAGAAGGAGGGTTCGAGTCCAACCAGCGGGGTTGCGGTGCGTGTGTTCATGGGCAAGGCACTTTATTACAATTTGTTACTGCACACCGAGGAATAACTGGCAACCTTTTGAATGTGCTAGAGCAATCCGTTTACTTCACCGAACTGTACACTTCCTATAGAACTGCGGAATGATGTATTTGCCTGATAAGTAGGGGCAATACTAATGAAGCGCCTCAAGCGCGGATAGTCCACTTCATAAAGAAATGTACATATTATTTTCACTGCATTAATCAAAATTATTATCTTGCTTTGTAAATAGTTACATCTATCTGTACAATTTATATAACACCTGTTCACTGTAATATCAGTTTTATTTTGGCATAACACTTTAAAGAATGCCTTTACCATTTGCTTTAGTTAACACAAATGAGTTCTTACATTTCTTGCGAATGCGATGGTAATTTAACTGGAACAAAACAACCAAAGCCTGATTGCAAATAGTAAACTAGCTCGTCCACATCTTCTTTTTTATTGTGGGCATCTTTCAGCAAGCATCGCTATTTTTCGCACGGATATTCGCATGTTGCACTATCATTCTACGTTGCTATATAAAATGCCAGATTGTGCTGCGAACTCTTGTACATAATAATTATGTATTTATCAATTATAGAATTCAGAGTCTGTCTGTATTTGTATTCGTTATTTGTATAAAATCAAGTAATTCGTGGGCTACAACGATTTAAAATGTAGACACACATTTTATCGTATATTTTCAAAATACAGCATTGTGGTACACGGTACGCTATGGAGACATGTGAATAATAGGAAATAAGAGATCGTACGTCTCAACAGGGCAATTTCTAAAGGTAAATACGTAATAGATATATGGATTTTACTCAAAAAGTAGGAATTTCCAAGGTGGGTTCATCCGTCGCAAATTGAGGTAATTTATGTAAGGGATATTAAACCCGAATTTCAACCCAGGAAATTAATTTTGGTTAAAGTAGGAGCATTTTGAAACAACACTTTCAAACTCTAAAAATTCTAGTAAACGAGAACAAAGAAATGACTCCACAAGGATATACATTTCAGTATTTGCAAACTGTAAGTTTCACTTTTTATTTTGTTAATTTGCCGATACGTGACCTGAGGTCACTGTTTCTGTCATAAAAACTTTAAGCACCCAATTTACCAATACAAGGATTTTTAGAACAATAATGAACCTAAAATGTAACTCGGCCCTTGTACCAGACACCATAGCCACAACGCTTAGTCAATTACGAGATGTCATGTGTTTATTTATTGAGGAAACACAAAATAGAGAAGCGAAATAACCAAAGACAATTTCTTTCAAGCAGCTGAAACACGGAAATTTCTGTCAAAGATGGGATTACTCGTTTGCTCAAGGATGTGGAAATTCGCATAAGAACAAAGACAAGAAAGGCACTGAGATCGATACTAACACACATTTTTTTAACATGAATTCGAACAGCGCAAGAGTGCAATTCATTAAACACATTTCAGTGCCCTTTGTGTAAAAATTTTATTGTAAACACTAGACACAAATTAGTTGTAATTTTGTATCACTGCATATACGTGCCTTTCCAATCATCCTAATATAATGTCAAAAGGAATATGGTTAACAAATAGTTATTGGTTATGTGTATAAGGCTGGATGAATTGTGTTGATTTAAAATTGATGAGGATTAAATGTGTAAAATTTATACCTTAATTAGAATCTTCATTGTAAACAGTTATAAAAAGTACTTTAATGTAGTCCCTAAGGGTACAAATCAACAGGAATTCTGATTTTATTAAAGATCAAAGAAAGGGATATGCCTTTTTAAATTCGCTAACGTGTATGACGTTTTGAGCAAAAAAACAAAGGATGAATCTTAAATTTAAAACAATTGTGAGGTGAGTTGGATAATTGCACAATGCAGACAATTTAGCATTTCAAATTGCGCATTCGCCTATCAATATTTACCGGTTTTGACTTCGTTTTATAGCCATAAATATACATATATGAAGAATATTAAAATATAAAAGAATTACAAACTAAAATAGTGTTATTAGGCGTGTGGTTTTTTGATGCGTAGAGCAAAATAATGTGGACTTATACAACTCTAACTAAATCCAAATTTCAGTAAAATTCAGCCCTCAGCCTGTAAGGTACTAATCCTTACCTTCGAAGTCTGTTCAGTGCCCTTTTTTGTCCCAAAGGCAACTGTTTTTTGGAAACTTGTTTTCCCTTAACCTTCCACATTTTCGGTTTTGAAGCAAATGTTTGCCTTGTCACTTATGATAGAAAACTTGTTCGGAATTATAGGCCTATGTATCGTAGTCGTTTCCCTGTAGGATACTTTCCCAAGAAAATTCGGAGACCAACAAGTGTCAAAATTATAAAATATCCATCATCCATGGCGTAGCGAGAAACAGTCGTGACAATCTTTTTTTCGTACCCGGGCCGGCCATTAGATTTAGAAATGTATGGATGGGAAAGGCTTCACATCTTTCGACGCTTGGGAGCCCTATTCATAATACAGATTTAAAAAAAGTCTTTCCAAGAAAAGTTTCAGAATCCTTTGAGTCGTTCAGATCGAACCGTGGACTTGCATCAAATCAGAAAAAGTATATCAGGAGATCAGCTAATACAATTTAAAAATGTCATATTCATCTTAGCAGTGTGGCTTTCTTAATACAGACCGTTGTGTATCGTATTCGGGATATCTCCTTTGTGATTAAGGAACCTATCGCAACAAGTTTGACCCAAACAAGAAAAAATATAGGTACTTAACCGATAACGAAGACAAAGTCATTATTTTTAAATTAATGATCAAATAGAAGACCGGTGCGTTTGATCAGTTTCACAATCACACAAAATTCGAAAGTCAAGAGGGGTTTTGTTATAAAGATTTGCGATTTAATAAAAGATGCATCCAGTTGAAAAACTATCTCCCCAGATGATTGCGATCCTTCTCAAGAAATAACGCGGCCGCGCTGCCTTATTTTACAACTCGCTCGGGCTCTGGTTAAGATAACGTAGGGACTATTTACATAGACGTAGTGTACAATGTACACACGGGTACCGTTTCATGCCACGGTGGAGTTGGGGGAACTGCTGAATGGTGTCATGTTGATCTTGGGGGAGAATGACCTCGCTTAAGCCGTTATACCTGGCTGAGTTTACGTTGAAGTGTCTGTAGTTTGCTCCTGAGGTAAGAGAGGATAATGTCGGGGTAAGATGAGGCGGGTAAGTTTTGCTTGCAAAGCATCCTCCCTGTCTCACCTCTTGCATTTTTTTAAGGAAAAAAAACGGTATCGGATGTTTAGCAGGGGCATCAATGTAGGGAGTGAGAAACCGCTGAATTTCTTTTGTGTATAAGCCAAGAACACACACGTATACCTTCAATGCATCAAGATTCTCGCTCCAGTGGCGAATCAAGCGGGGGAGGGCGGGGGATGAAATGAAAGCGTCAGCATCTCGCAAACCTCATTAGTAGTATTATCCCCCACCCCCTTCACCAACATGTTGTTACCATTTTGACGGACAAACCATTTTTATTTTGCGGTTCCTGGGTGACCGGTAATAGGCCTGGCTACCTTCCAGCATATAATGGCCTGTCGGCAAATGTCACGCCGCAATAGGTCATTCAAAAATGGTCTGATCACACCCGTGATCCCCCCCCCCCCCCCCAGCCGTGGACCTACGACCACTGGGGTATAGCAGTTGCCTATACTAAGCCTTCCTGATGGTAAAATATAAGCATCTAGTTGACACCCAAACAATCTGCGGAATTAAAGGGAATGGCGTACCCGATAGCGCCAAAATTCGTTTTTCACGAACCATTTACTGAAATGCGCCGCGTGCGTGTTTATTAACTGAAGGGGTTCACTGAATATGTAGCCTAATTTGTATATTTAAATACAAGTCTTTTTTATTTAATTACCCCAGCTTTTGCAGTCTTCCTGCATGGAAGTTTGCTAGCGAGCAAATGGGATATTAGTTACCTTAGTGTATACGCTTCCACCGCCCGGGACGCGCTGCCTGGTCATCAGTGCAGTAGCGTTAAGGTACCTGTGCAGTCAGCCACGTTTGGAATAGACTCCTCAGAACCGGCTAAAAACATTATTTACCTTCACTTACGGCAAATCAGCTACATTTTATGAGCGGACGGGTGCCTCGCAAGGCTTCTGCCATTTTACCTCAATGTGTTGGAGTCGAGATAGCCTGAATTGCGTTTCTCTGGGGAAAAAAAAACACGTGTGTGTTGTGCTGAAATTTTACTCAGTTTCAGTCTTATTTCTGGGTAATGACAAGCTCTATGCGAATTGTATTTTGTGGATTGTTATTATGTAAGTACACGTTAACATGCAGGTGAAATTTCAGCTCATAAGCTGTGACGTACATGCGAACGGTCTCCCCCTTAATAAACAGTCGTGAGAATTTGCATATTTTTAGTTATTATAGTGTGCCTGATTGTAGGATTTTATCAGCGCTCCCCATTGAAAATATGTCACGAGCCCCTCCTTCTTACATAGTTAAGTACAACCAATTATCTTTTTGACTTAACGGCACGTTGTAACTGTGGGCCTATGTCCAAGTTCTCATTTTATAAGATGGAATTTTGCGTCTGGGTGATGTAAATCAAATTTGATTTTTTTTTTTCAACTTCCACTCGGGAGGTAACACACTGAGTATTCAGTGTTTAAACGTCGGTGAAGGGCAAAACCTAATTTGAAGTTTTCATTTGGTAACATAATCGAATTTTGTCATTAAAATTGTTAATATGATTTTTTTTATGGAATAATGACCAATCATACCTTATTCCTCAGTGCAATCTCGATGATTGTAATGAATATTACTAAATACACTTATCTTTTAATGTCAATCGTATTTTAAACATCACTTTTTAAAAAAAATTCACAATTTAAATGGGGACCGTTTCTTATTGCATTTTGTGTAAATTCCGTATTAACTGATTTTTTGTTTCTAATGGTTTAACATTGTATTGTCATTTTAACTCGGCATGTGCCGCCACGATGATTTTTAATAACCAGTCTATCTATCTATGGGGATTTCACAGTCAGGTAACCATTGAGCTTTATTTGCGAATGACATTTTTCAGCCACGCGTGCTGAAATGACCTATCGCCGTTTGCGCCATTAGATAACCCCATGGAATTGTGTATGTTGCGCGTTCCGCGTAAATTTACATCATGTAATTGGACAATAATTCACATGGTGCGTTGACGCGATTCCACCGCGATAGGTCAATAATATAACACGTTTTTTTGACGCCGCTCCCGTCGCCCGGAAGTGGCTTAATACATTGTATACATTTGTTACTTTTTTTTTGGTATACGTTTTTATACATTTCACTTGCAAAGTCTTGCACGTTTTCAGAGACAGTTTCCAGGAAGCAAGGCCTATTTGCTGCGATGACTCCTTGCCTTGCGGAATAATCTAGTTATTTGACCTTTCTCATACATTTTGGGTAAACGTTAAGACGTCAGATTAAGAAACCAGACGTTAACTCATATATCATGTTTATTCTCAATTATGGACGTGAACGTGTACCGGTATTATCGCTTATTTCATACTTCACATACTGCAACTCACAATAGTAATGTTCTGTTTCTTTGCAAGTTTTGGGGTTTTTTTGGTGATTCTTTTCAATGTAAGCCGACTGAATTTGAGCCAGTGGACGGGTCGCGAATTTTTTTTCTCCAAAACAACTTCCACACATGGGTATACGCTATGGCGTTTTGGACTTAACTATTACAAACACATGAGAAGAAAATAAAAAAGTAGAAAAAAAAGTGAATTATGAACTTCGGACTTTTTTTCCCTTTTAAAAAAATCCTCCAAAGCCTAAAGTTAGAAAAGGAAAAAAAATCGGGTGCAAAACAGAGATCGGCGAACCTGCAACCTCGCACCTCGCGGTGTAAAACCTTCCCTCTATCGACTGAGCTGTCGCACTGCTCGCCAATATCAGGGGAAACAAATAATTATATACCTACGTGCGTATCATAAAAGTATCGTCGAGGGCGCTAAACAACCATGTATGCGGATGTCGTTTGGGAGAACAAAATCGCGGATGGGGCTCTCTCCCCCGACTATTACAGCAGGGCCGACCACTACATAACAAAACAATTGTTGACTGCTGTGATGTGGGATATGCCTTTTGTAACCCCTCGGCTTCGTCACGGGTGCTATGTGTCCCTCGGGTATTAACAACTGCATAACCCACACCACAGCTTTCAACAGCTTTCAAGTCGCAGCGGTTTATTCTCCTTAACCTTTCGCATTGCAAACAATACTGACAATAAAATCAAATTCCACCACAAAGCCTCTTGAATACTGTATGTCAATTATCCACGGCTTGGAGCTAAGACTATTTCAATGAAATGGAATTTCCTTCTTGATGGAAAAAAGAAAAAGAAAATGAAATACGCGCTGATACCTACGGTCATGTTTAGCATTAAAAATACTACTTGATTATCTTCTCTTCTCTTGGAGCTTTTGTCGTTTTGAAAGAAAAATGAAAAATGTCCGTTTTGTCAGTACCTAAGCCGGTATTTGTTTGGCGCATATGCTGTGTACATGTACTGATCGAATCAACTCAATGCAATCTTGGTCTGATCTAGCCTCTGAGTGCCTCTCACAAAAGAACAATTATCTGTTGCTGGATTCATCTCTTCTTCCAAATATGCATGGACGTTTTCGTACTTTCCAGTAACGAAAAAAGTTCAAGCCTATTTCAATGGAAGAAGAAAACCGTCCTTCTCGGTGGAATACGCAGTCATTTAAATGAAAAAAATGAAATCCACGCTGCGATCTATGATCGTGTTTATTTATACATTATATGTTTGCGTTTTTCCCCCCAAATAAAAGCATATATACACAATTAATAAAACATATATAGTTATATATATTATCATATTTTTGCAATATATAATGTCTGCACAAACTAAAACAAACATTAGTTTTAAGGTAAAAGTGTTTACTTCTACAAAATATGAAGAGACGAAGACAAGTTCAAAGAGAACAATGCTTATCTCGAATTCTAACTTTAAAGTTCAATTATTGTAATTAAAGTATTCAAAATTACATTTTGATAGCATTAATGATTAATGGCTGGTTGTGGGAAAAGCCGAGCATTTGCAAACCATAACGGCATATTTTGACGAAGGAATATCTCTTCAAAGTATACAGAGTGGGTAGTTAGGCCTATACAGTTTTGATGGGGATTCTGCAATTGAATTTTAACTTTTTTAAAAAGGAAAAGTTAATTTGGCAGTGAATGCAAATATGCTGGAATGGTGGTTTTTAATTCCCTAATTCGAGTTATGTGCACCAGTTTTCTATAAGAACTGGTTAAAAATGTATATATTCTCATTGCCCAATTCCAAGTCTGTCATAGTGTCAAAAATGATTTACAACTTGTCGTTAATCTTAAATTTTATGTACAATCTGGTAATCCAAAGAGACAAGGGATGGCTCATATATGTGCTTATAAGAAATGGTCTTAAAATGTAAATCTAGATCTTTCATCTTCTCTCATTTCCATCCACCGCCACTTTAGGTAGTCTCCGACTGAAGTCTGTCATGTTTATGGCGAGTAGTCTTCTACCAGTAGTTGGTCTCTTCCGTTGCTACAAAGGGAGATGACGAAAAGAAAATCAGAACAGAAACAATTTTAGGCCTAAAGAAAACAAGAGGAAATAAACTATATACCCGCAAAGTTTGAGATATTTTGCAAAGGACCGTAAAACTAGATTTAAGTTTACCTTATGCGCTTGAATTACATGTAGTTACACTTGGCAATACGGCTCGCAATGACTTATGTTAATTCGAACATTTCTTATCTCGTCATGACACGATGGATGATTAGATACGGCCGGTGTAAATGGGTCGATCCATATTTGGTCATCCGGGCCCCACCCATCTTTAGTTTGTGTACAGTTAATATGACCGAGTTTCACCAAGCTGCCTTGGTCACCTGACCAAATGTTGCAATATCATTGGTCAATGAGCAAGTAAGGGTGAATAAGGGCAGCAAGATATAAACTCACGGCGTGTAGGTCCTTTCGTTCCATGTCTGTCCATCACCAATCCTCTCTAATGCTTGCTGGTCACATGGTTCCAAGCTGTCGGGCCTGGTCGGAGGGCCGCCATTTTTACTGGACCGTTGATGAATGAACTGCATACGAGGAGATCAAGATTTTGAATCAGTTAGTACATTGTAGTGACTTATACATGTATGATCCGTGAGTAATAACTTTATTCCAACCATTACGGAACTTTAGTGCTAGAGTTTGAGATGGGAAAGTGTTCAAAATCAAAATTTTAAACTTTAACGTAATTGGTAACATTTTCTTGCCAAGTCAGTCAGTCAATCAGTCACGGTGCCTTCCGCTTGCCAGCAGGTGGGCTATCAGAGATCTCCTGCCTTGTCTATTTTTCGACAAACGGGTAGCAATTTAATGGATTTCTCAGAATGGTCAAGCTTTTTCTATTTGAAATAATGTATAATGAAGTTCGTTATTTAAGCCCAAATCAAGTCAACAGTTATCGCCGCTAATTGACAAAATAAGTTTACACGAAGTCTCTTGATTCCTCTCGGGTAAAGGTAAATAAGCCCTTTGAATCATTACCGATAGAAATCAGGCTTTTTATTCAGGCGGTGACATGAAACGATCGGCTTTTCATGTGATAATGTAATATAAGTTGGTCCAAGGGAACACTTGACCTTCTGTTTGTTATCTATTTACGTGGATCTATCTGATTAAAAGGACATGGCAAATGTCTATAATACTCTATAAAGGAATGTGAATTTCATAACATTGCGACGTAGAAAATATTCCGCATGGCCGGAAATTCCCTCTTAAGCACTTCGGGCACTTTTACAAGAAAATGCGAAAGGTCGCATCAAGAGCTTTTCTAACAATTCGGTTAGCTATACCGACTTGAAAACAAGTCGACAAAAGCTACTGTGAAGCGTACCAGAGAAGAGGTGCGTGTGGTGAGACTAGACGTCGTGCTCAGTCGGCTCCGAAGGCGACGCCGATGGCCAAGCTTCTCCGTACATGGTCCACATCGCTGTAACAATCGACGCACGTCAGCCTGAGTGAATCAGTAACAAATAAGGCATATAAATGAATATATTAGGATTTTATTATAGAACTTGTAAAGAATGGAATCAATTGTTTTTTGAAGACAATTAGAGGAAAAACAATGATACATCGGACAGAAAATACAGAACTCTGAACGACCTCGGGAGCAGTATGGTGGTTTTTAAGTGTAACGAAAATTCAGAAATACATAAGACAGCTAACCTATTCCTATTGGTCGAGAGCACATCACTTGGCCTGTTTGAAACGGTTGATAAAGACATGGCTGGCTGGTCTTAAACACTTTTTCACTGTCACATGAATTTTGACTCCTATGAAATCCGGTGCCAGCACTGTTTTACTCGTTGAAGGTTCACAATCCTCACGTAGGCATGTGCAATACTGCCACTGAGTCAGTATTTCATATAGTCCTAAATCCACACCGGTCCATCTGCGCTGCGTTGTGCGCCATATCACGCAGTACGCGCGACGCTCGCGTCAATCTCCATATAAGGAAATGTTTACCAGAGGGTCTTACCATTGTATAGCTAGAGCGGTATTGTGTTGATCGAAATCGTTGAAAATTTAAAATTTTTGACTTGTTTTGACTTATGGACCGCAACGTTTGATTTTTTGACCGAAAAGGTATTTATGAATAAGAATCAGTGCTTGGTCGGTATTAAACACTCTGTTTAAGACCGGTTGGAGTCTGGATGTTGTTAATTACTCTCGCCTTCGGCTCGGGTAATTATCAGCATCCAGACTCCAATCGGTCTTAAACAGAGTGTCTAAAACCTCCAAAGCACACATTTATTCCCTTATTAATAAATTTGGCGACCGGCAACATGTTCTTTAGAAGCTCTGACAGACTCAGCTTGGGTCGTTTCCCCGTATTATCCTGTCTCTAAATGGGCTCCATAACAAACGCAATTGACGGAAATGCCATCCTCAAAACTACGTCAATAATACCCAACTGGTACAAAAATAGCTTTCTTCAACAACGGAAATAGCAGCAACTGAATCTAACTTACTACAAGGCGGTTATAGTATAATTCATCTCTGCAGGCCCAGACAACCGCGCACATGATGTCTTATAAACAAGAAAGTTCAACTTATTAGTGTAGAAAAAAGTACATGACATGTACTGAACTTTAAATCACGAACCGATATTGAGTAATGATGCATCAAACCAGCTGCTAATTTGACTAACTTTTAGGGGCAACACTTTCCCCCAGCACACCTACCCTGAAGCTATCGTTCAAGAAGCCAAAGACGATGGGATTCATGAAACTGTTTGCCATGGCAAGCCAATGACCCGTAAAGAAGTAGACGAAGAAGAAGTTGGGATACTTGCTGACCACAGCGCTGTCAGTGATGACAATCAGATGGTAGACGTAGAGAGGTAGCCAAGAACCGATGAAGAGGAAGACAATCATCATTAGCACCTTGATTACCTAGGTTCACGAGAAACAAAGGCGTAGACGTCAGAGTCTCAGTACGTTTACTAACCTATGTTATTTAGCACGTTCCACGATGATCTCGTTGCCAATTCCCAAGGCAAAGGAGTTGGTGACGGCTAAATTCGGAGTGTGAAGATCAGTGTGGTTGTCGTTAAAGTGTTGATAAATATGGGTTCAGTTTCTGTTAAAAGACCAGCTATAACCTTGTTAATAAGTAGCTAAAATGGTTTTCCTCTGTACATTCCTTTGATGAACGCCTAAACGAAAAGCAAAGTGAAAGGTGTTTGTGCTTGAAGACACAATGCCAAAAAAAGGGGTCTGGTTGTGTTTTTTCGATGTCATCTCCGGTAAGTTTGACACAACCTTCCTCGCTGTTTCATTAAATGTTATCTGCCTCCCATCCCATGGCTGTTGATGTTGGGACAATGCAAGTATAGAGGGACCAATAGCCTTATTATACTACCAAAATATTCTTGCGAAACCATAATAGAAAATATTTCTTTATTCATCCCCGGCTGTCCCTGGTCATCGATACCAATAAGGTAGAGAATGGTTCGGATAGACAGCGAGAACAAAGCATCAACCGTTTCTTTTGACGATATAGTTGCTTTTAGCGAGGCAAATGGCAAGATAAATTAATCGTGATTAGATCTGGAGATTCCGCCGGGAAATCAGGGATGTCCTCTGTGGATAAAGACGATACGATAGGAATACAACACTTAATGCTTTCAGCTAGGCAAATGTTGGCGTGGATGTATGTTTTGAGCTTCATGTTGAGTCTCCTTGGACTCATTGCCCAACGCGTAAAATTGGGTGTGTAATCCTATCAATACCTTTTGAAGTTTTGTCGAGCTTCGAATCGACAGTAAAGCTTTAGAGTAAATCACTGTCGTCGTTTTGTTTGATTGCGAGCAGAAGTGAAAAATGGCACAACAGAGTCACAATTTTACCTACACTTACCGCCTTACGCGAGCCAATTCTTAATTGAAGTTCCCATAAAATCACCACTTTCGTGCTACACAGTTGATGCTAAACCAATCAGATAAAGGAAGCCTATACCAAAGATCTGGGTTTGAGACTGCAGTTGAGTGTAGTCTCAGGAAATTACCTTTCTCTTGGCCTTCTGGTGGCAAGCATCTCGCATATGATCGGCGTTGCCAGGGAGATTTCTTCCCCACAATTTCCGCCCAACTACGCTGTAAGTAAAACAGAATATGGCCAGCGGCGCGAAGTAAGTGGCAGCCATATTGAAGATCTCGTAGCCAAACTCCAGGTTGGCGTTAGGCCAATGCTCGGTGCAGACCGCTAGGTGGCGCTCTCCATAGCACCACTCGTACTCTTTGGTCCGAGCCAGTAGGAGCTGTACCATTCCCATCATGCCTGATGCTACCCAGATGCCTGAGATGACTAGAATGGTCTTGGTGTTGGACCTGGCCATGCGTGCCTTGAGAGGGCGCACTACTGCGAAGTAGCGATCTATGCTGACGGCAGTTAGCGTGAAGACACTTACGCAGATGGCCACCTGGACAAAGCATGGAGAGAAAAAACCGGAGTACTAGGCAAAGTAAAAAAAAAAAAAAACATGTTTCTCGTCCCCGCCCGCTTCCTTTTTGGAGGCCGCCTGGATTTTTTTTATTATTTTTCATTTTTGAAAAATGCAGTAAAAAAACACCGAAAAAGTCCACAAATTCATCGGAAAATAAATTGTAGACCAATACAAGTCTAAATGACACTGTAAATATGTTCAGTTCTCTTGCCCAACTTATCTTTCATTTTAAAAGTGTCTTGAACAGTGGAAACACCAACGGTTGCAGGACATTTTTCAATGACGGCCATCTTGAAACAAATAAAAAATAAAAAGCCCCGCTTCCTCCTTTTTTTCAAAAACCCGGACGAGAAACATGTTTGGTTTTTTTACTTGGCCCTATACACCATTTCTATATAATAATAATATTATTATTTTATCCGGCAAATTAAAATATATACACACAATTATAAAAAAATACTTAAACTTTGATATTCAAACAAAAGGTTATACAAACAATAAGAAACAAAGTAAACACTACACACGAAAGACAGAACGTGGACAGTGCAGGGCTGCCAAGGAGAAAAACAAAAGTGAAACAAACACTGTCGCCAATAGGGCGTGTCTCTCCAACCCTGCACAATGACAGACACATAACACAGACCAAGCACAAACCAATTAATAATGCAAAAATTGCACAAGGGAGGAAATGTCCAAGGTAGTATAAAGGGATTTATTAAAAATGGGCAGGGCAGAAGAGGCTAAGTAAAGGAAGTGGATAGGAGAACCGGGCAGTAAAAACAGAGGGAGGGAGGGAGACAGGGAAGGAGAAGAGGGGGAAACAAACAAACAAACACCCCAACACCCCCAACAAACAAACAAACAAAACCAGGAAGGGGAAGTTTAAACAGGGCCAATGGGAAGGGGAAGGGTAAGACAGGAAATGGGAAGAGAAGCAACAACACCAACTGTGGAGGAGAGGGCTGGGGAAAGGAGTATGGTGGAGGAATTTATCCAGCAGAGCAAAACTAACTCGGTCTATATAGTTTAACTCCATCCGATTTAATATCCCTGTGCGAATTTATAATGAACAGAGGTCGTTGGTCTGAAGCTTAAGCCTCAAAACCTGTACACATTTACTTCATTCGTAGCAAAGCCTATGCTAGGAAATCACTCCTCCCGGTTGCAAAGGAACACAAACCCAAAATGGCGGCAGCCTGCAGTGGCGCCTCCTGAACTCCTCACCACCTTGCATGTAGTTTTAGTCTCGTTTTCAGTCTGACATTTCACGGCCAGGATTGGTGTTTTTGTTTTTGTTGTTGTTGGGTTTTTTTTTTGGGGGGGGGGGGTTTGGGGGGGGGGGTTATTGCTTTCATTTCTTTTTGCATTTGGCATCATTCACATAACACATTGATCCCATCGGCAAGCTGGCAGCTGCCACTTGACAAAGACGTGATTTCGAGTCGTCCTGAATAAGATGGCCGCTGTTTCAGATGCTAGTCCATTTCCAATAAAGATATGTGAGTTCCAACGAGAATCGACTATAGTCTTAACCATAAGTCTACATTAACAGTGAGACAGGTGACTCGTGCTCTTTAAAGATTGTCAAATCACTTGTCATATCCAGCTGTATTGATACAAGTGCCTAGCCATGTTTGTGCCCTTATAAGCAAGTTACTTTACGACAACAAGCTTACTACGCCACAGAGGGAAAAAAGGGGCATTTGAGTTTGATTAGCCCTCGTATCACTTATGACCGTAATAAATGCGCTGATAGTCAAAAATGACTTGCATGTCCAAGTCCCTTCAATACAATGTTAACCTTGTTTGTGTCACGGCTTTTACATGGAAGATTGAAAGATAACGATTGCGACATATTGATAAGATAAAAGATAAAGACGACTTGACCTTCAACTACTTGATTGAAACCTACCAAAAAATCTCAACGGTCTTTTATTTAAAACCATATATAATGAAATCGTATATGTTGCCGTGACATTGCTTTGGTGATGAGCTTAGGATCACTTCGGATCAACCTAATGAAATTAATGTTAAAGGTGGAGTGGTTTAATGTGATATTGTGTAAATATCAAAACGCAATATATTTTTGGAATGTTGGCTCAGCATGAAATTTCGACGGGAGAAAAGAGGAGAGAGTAATTTTATCCTCCTAAAACACAAACAACTAAAAAAAAAAACCTTGCTACAGACAACTACAATACAAATACATGGCTCACTTATTAATAAACAATGTACCAAAGCTCGCAGAAAATTTGTATGACATTCGAAACGTGAATGTGAATTACATTCTTGTCCCAACATTGTTTATGTGTTTGTAGATAAACAAGATCCTCTCGAATGAAGAAAAAAAAGAAATGTTTGAGCAAACAACTATCCCGGATCTCCTCCGCGCAGGAATTACACAAAAACCGCACACTTTTAAGTGGTAGTTGTTTGTATATTTCGATATTTTTAAACCACACAAAAGCGTCTAATGCCCAGATCAACATGCGCATGTTACTGGATCCCTTCATGTCACCGGATGTTCCTGTACACGAAGCATCAAGTGGTAACTTTACCCTCTCAATAAACATGAATATCTCGCTCTCAAGTATGAAAATATGACGGTTATTATTCGATAGTAGCTACAGGACGTCTGAGTGGGGGCAAAGACCGTACAATGAATGTGCATTAAGAAAGGTTAGGTATAGGGTACTGCTAAAGGGTAATGCTATAGGGTATAGCATTATGCGATATGCGATATGGTAATGGTACCCAGTTCAATTGAGTGACTTGTGATAAAAATCTGGCTGTTTCCATTGCCTTATTAGTAAAATTGTCACGCTGGTCTATCAGTTTTTCATAGTATTCGTTGTGTATGGATTAGGCCCTACAATCTCCCTCCCTATGATATTCATCTTGAGCATCGTCCTTGGCTCCCAAGTGTCTCAGCAGTGTTGTGTAATTTTTTTTTTCATGACAATTGCGTTATGAAATACTACATAGATGTTACGGAAGGTGTTAACTGCACTGCATTTTTTAATCAACACTCCACAGTTCATAGCCTATAAGCATACGTTTTGTCACACGCTTGTCACAATACTTGCGGAAATTTGTGCCTGTTTCCTCATGCAGAAGATTAAAACACTTGATGCACACTACCGATGGGATGTAATGCGGTTATGTCAGCTCTTTATTTCCGCTTTGCAGGAGGGCCACTTTATTGAGTAAGTAGAACGAAGTGGCTCAGTGCACTGTGACTGTGAGTAGTTCTTCTGACAAGTCAGGGACTGCGTGGGAAATGTATCAATACGACTTTGGCGTCTACTTCCTGAAGTCGATTTCACGACACTCGTCTTATCTTATTGCGCATTTCAGGACTTGCTGTTGTGAGGTAGATCCTAGCTAGAGACGCCATCCAAGACCAATCGCACAAAATGCGCCTAAGGGCTCCATACACAAATACCCCTTCAACGGCCAGAAAAGGAGACCTAGACTGGTTCCCGCTCCATCCACTGCGTATTTCGAATGATCCAAAGTTATTGGGGGCGGGGATTAGTCTGGGAGACCATCGCAAGTTGAATACTTAACTACTTAAATAGTTAAATACCTAAATATTCCTACACAACAGCTGATATTAAAGGGATTAGTTCTGGAATGCGCTCGTCAATGACCAAGGGCGGATCCAGGGGGGGCCAAAGGGGGCCATGGCCCCCCCAAAAACGAAACCAATTTTTTTTTTTTTTATGTGACAATGCAATAAAGGCAGGCAATGAGTACACCACCATCTTTTCCTCAAAAAAACATTGGTTAAAGTGGTCAGAAATTGCCTCAGATCGCACCACAGAGAATCTAGAATCCAAAATTTTTTCGGGGCCCTTAAGCGGGCCCCGAACCCCACGCCGTAATTTTTTCACCCACTTTTTTGGGGGACCAAAAATTTTTTTTGGCCCCCCCCCCCAAATTGTGTTCTGGATCCGCCCTTGTCAATGACGCGTTTTGAACAAAATGATGATCCATGGAAAAGGCTTTTAAAAGTAGAATATAAACGTCTGCACAACCTCCTTTAAAACTGGTCATTTTTGTGTTATTTCTGCGAGAACCATGCGCGAACGAATTTCGGGGGTCACAATTAATAGAGCGTGTAAGTTGACCCCGAGAACTCATGTTACCTTACAATACCTACATTTCTTAAAATGATTTCCTCGAGTGTTTCTCTGAAAACTGGTAAGCAGTGGCGGCGATATGGGGGAGGGGGGCATGGGGGTCCTTGCCCCACCCCCACACAGGTCAGTCGCACCACGAAGTGAGGTATCGTGTGCACAAAGTAAATATATAGACGATACGCTACTTCGTGGTGCACCCACGCATCTTTGCAAATACCCTTAATCATCGGGCACCCTGTTGTCCTTCTTTGGTTTATACCCTAACCTTTTAGGAAGAACTACCATATATTTGTACACACACCTCAAAAGTGGCCCTTCGCTCAGTCGTGGACTCTTTTGTCCACTTCATGTATTGTTAAAGGTCCACGATTTGAATGTACAAATTCACATAAACACACACACACAGTCGTGTCTGCCTCTTTCCTTCATTTATTCCCTTTTATTTGTACCTCAAACTTGTTATCGACAGCTCCCGTAAGCTAGGTTTGTACCGACGAAATTCTCCCGAGGACTAGGACGAGCGCAGGTCCTCAGGCAGTGTCGGGCCCATTGGTATCGCACACACCCCATTGCACACCCCATTGTCCAAAGTCCTCAGTCAAATTAGTCAGGTGGCTTAGACCCAATTTTGGACAAGATCGTGACCGACTGGTCCAAAGCACCAAACTTGGCAGATACATTGCTATAGCCTTAGAGAAGATATTTAGAAGGGGTGACACCTGAAATTCTTTTGGGAAGGGTGCCTAATTTGCATAAATCGTTAATCCCTACCGTGTAATATATTTTATTCCCCTATTTGAGTATATTTTTTTTTTTTTAAATTGAAAAGTA